GGTGTGGACATGCTCTTGCACAAGAAGTTTTTGCGCAAAAACTCTTGTGCAAAAGGCTTCTCGCACAAGAAGCATGTAGTGTAGACATAGCCCTAGTGATAGACACCTAAGGTAGGTCAGCTGCTTAAGTAGCCCATGTTCCAGTGGCCAAAACCCTCTCTCATCCTTCCCTACATTTTTGTGTCCCTGATCGTCTTCTCTGTGCCCCTTTACCTAATGGTGGTCTGCCTCCAGTCCTCCTGCTGTGGGGGCTGACAAGTTACAAGTGTGAGGTGAGGCTTGCTCTGAGTCTCCCTATGTAATGGGCCTTGCTGGAGAGAGAGGTATTCCTACAAGCTATATAATCCCACTTTGGGGTCCCCAGGCCTTTGGCTTGAGCTCTGAGCATCTCATTATCTTCTTTAATCATTTATACTATTGCTAGCAAGGAAATTGTTGTGACAGGAGTAATGTTCCCTGCCACAGGGAATTCATTATTAGTCTCCGTGATTCTTTGCATTACTTACTTTTTTAGGACTTCCTCACTTTAGAGTGGGATGTCTTTCCCCCCTAGTGGATGCACTGACAAAGCAGGAAGGCTGTTGACAAGGTGAGGGAAATGTAGCATTTGCTGGTCCTGCCTCAGCTCCACCTACGAATTGGATGTCATTTGCCTAGGGCAGGGGTGGGAACCTTTTTTGGGTCAGAAGCTGACGACCCACAGAAAAATCAGTCAGGGGTCGCACACAAGTGAGAAGCAAATAAAACCCCACAAACAACCAAAACAAAAACAAAAAAACCCTCGCTGACATGGCCCCCGGCTGAGGAGAAAGATACTCCCCACATTCCCCTCACACATCAGAGCTGGGGGGAGGGGGGAGAGGGAGGGCAGCCTGAGCTTCAGGGGACAGATCCAGGCAAGCTGGGGGGCTGAATGTGGGCCCTGGGCCTTAGGCTCCCCACCCCTGAGCACACTGTCTTGCTGCTTATCTACAGTGAGGAGTTGGTGAAAAACACTTAAAGCTTTCAAGGGAAGACAGGTGAATTCCTGGATCATTGAATTGCTCTTTAGTGGGGCCCCTAATTTTTGATAGCTTTGACTCCACTGTTTAAGTGAATTCTGTAGCTAGGTGGAGAACCTACAGGAAGAGTTGTCAGATGAATGGGATTTATCTTTTAGGCCCCCAATAACATGGTGATTCTCACAAGACCAGACCTTTTATCTTTCTCCTTTGGCTCCAGATGTTTTTCAATAGGGGATTATACCAGAGTGACAGCACATTAGGATCTGGTTGTGCAAGGTACAGTATGCCCTCAACTCCGTTTGCTGAGCACCTCCCAATGGTGTTCAGCACTTTGCAGGATCTGGCCTTTCGATCGATCATTTTTTTCTTTGTAATAGGCAACAACACTATAACTAATAGAAATATCCAAATGGATTTAAATTTATGGTGCTTAGCTAGTAGAGTCCATGGCAGAGTTTTCTCCTATCTGTAAAACAGGGATTAAGGATACTTACTTAGGTCCTGATCCTGAATAGACTCTGTCACACAAACTTATGCCTTTACAGACTGGGACAGTCCCACGACTTCACTGGGGCCACACACAGTTAAGCACGTGTTCAGTCATTGCAGGACGATTGCAGGGCATTATCTATTGAATGTAGATGTTTTGAGATTCAATATTTATATAGTTCTTTGAAAACATATTGAATTTTGGAAGTGTATTTTTTATTTCATCCATGGGATGCCTTTCCCTCATTCAAGGAGATTACAACTGTTGAGCTGTTAAGATTTTTGGCTGGAAGAGCTAGATGTGCAAAAAATCCTTGTGTTACTGAATACACAGATAATCTCTGACAAATCCTATCTGGTGAGTTTACACATAAGATTTGGATCTCGTATTTTGGCATACACTTTATCCTCATAATTTATAGCTCTTGGCCTTCAATCAGTGGAATCGCCACTAAAGTTTTCAGTAATATATGCTTCTGAAAACAATCCTGCGTGGTTTTAATGACAAAAAAAAAATTATAAAGATTTGACAATGTATGGGTTAAATTCTTTCTACTTTGAGAAGAATTCCGTTGGGAAGCCAGCTCATTCTGCGGCTTTTAAAAAAAACTTTATTCATTTGTGTTATTGCTTTATTAGGTATGCGAGCACACACATTATTGCTACCAGTAAGGTTTAAGGCTACTTTAACGAGTTTTTGAAAAATGCTTTGAACATCTCAGAGCATGCATTAGCCTCGTGAGTATTTAGCTGTAACATTTTCAAAACTTTGGTGATGGCTTTGTCTTTTATTAAAAAACCTATTATCGGAAAGTTTAAGTGAAGTAATTTTATTTCTTGTTTTAAGTCTTTCATATAGTTAGGTGACTCTCAGTTTTGCTTTGTCAAAGCAGTAGCTTGTATTTAACTAACCTCCGCAGTGTTATCATACACTCACACCACAGGTTCTATTGGCTTTTGGGTGCTACATTTAAGAGTCACATTAGGGCCATAATCTATCCAGGAAGGATGCAAATTGAATGTAGCCAAAAACAGTAGTTCCTTGAGAATGTCTTTTTCTACCATGGTGCAACCTTAGTCACTTTTGTTTCAAAGAGGATAAACAGGAGCAGGCTAAGAACTGTCACTGGATTATCAAGATGTGATGCTAATTAATTCACACTATCAGGAACTGTGTTAATAGCTGAAAAATGTTTACTGTACAACGAATAACAAAATATTAGAAGTCCCTGATATGTAAAGAGAAGTTACTTTTCCATTTAGGTTCAGAATAAATGCAATTCTGCCATTTTATGAGCAATTACAGAAACAAATACAATATTAGTGTTTACTTTCCCAAAAGAAACGGACATCTTGCTTAGATGAAAATATACAGCACTAATGCATGAACAGCTTTAGGGTATGTGCTCATACTAGTGCCATTCAAAAAATGATGAGTTATGCTCTAAAAATCATGATTGTCTTAAACATCATAAGATTTTAAAAATGATAAATGTGGGCTTCTTTTTTATTTTCCTTCTGGTGTTAGTGTCTCTAGGGTTTAGGTTTTCAAGTCCCTCTCATCCCAGTTATCACAGCTAAAACTTTATTATTTAATAAATGAACAGACTGTCATATATTCATATGAATCTAGAAGCTAGAGCTTACAGGGGAAAAAACCCCTACAATTATGAGAGTTGGAGCAGCAGAGTGGAGTAGGTCCAGAGGCCCTCTGCTGGAGGCCTTGTGGTTCTGCGTGTCTCTGCTCCAGAGCAGCGAGCAGTCCTGTGGCATCTTATAGACTAACTGAATTGTTGGGGCATAAGCTTTTGTGGGCAAAGACCCACTTCGTCAGATGCATATCAAGAAGTCGTCCTCCAGTCAGTCTAGAGTGGTTGTGGAGGAGCGGCCTATCCGAAGGCCTGCTGGAGCAACCAATGAGGGGCCACACGGGCCAAATAAAAGGCAAACAACAGAGCAGAGCCATCGATTGCAATGTGGAGCTTGAGGAGGGATGACTGGATTCTTGGCTCATTAAATTAATAGCAGAAGCAGGCACAGCTCAGTGCAGAGACCTCATCAGACTAAAGAGCCCAGAGAAGTCTGCCAAAGACTGGATGCCTGGCTGGCTGAATACTAGCAGGACTATGAAAAGGTCAATGCAGTCAGGCTCAGCCTGGGCAACTAAGCATAGAACCTGGCCAGACCACACAAGAGTACCAAGATAAGCCCTGATGGTCTGGTTGCAGATTGAGACCAGGGAGGGCTGTTGAAAGGACATTAGCCAAGGGTATTGAGATGAGTCCTGGCTGGATGACTGAAGAAGTTAGTGCCTTGAGAGGAAGTCTAAGATTTACAGCACCATACCAGCTTGTGAGAAGAACATGGGGATGTATACCCTGGAAGGAGGGGCAGTATGTGTCTCAGCTGGAGGGCTGAACTGTTGAAGACCCACTGAAAGAACATTGGCCAGGAGGTGTGGGGTGTTGGGACATGTTAGGATTAAATTAGGGGTCTCGGTAGTTACAATAAAGGTAATGGGGCATGGCTCAGGCAGACACTGCTTCTATTGATTTATAGACTTGCTTTGATTCCTCCTTTCCCGCTTGCTCAGGATAGAGAAGCATGCAGCTGTACCAAGGATGTAACTTGTAATGAATGCTCTCTGCGTTAATAATGCTATCTTCCTACCCCCATATCCTTTCCCATTCTCTCAAATATATTCAGGGTCACATCTTCCCCCCACTGAGTTGCTGATTTAAGGAGCTGTGTGATGTGAGAACTGCTTACATCAACTAAAAAGCTGTAAACGGGCGGGAATAAATATATTCATCACATGGTTATGATTATGCATTATATGGTGTGTACATTACTAAATTAGGGCTTAAAGGGTGATACTAACTAAGACAAAAAGGTGTACCTGTGGTTAGTCTGTTGCTTACTGGGATTCCAGGGACTGAGGAGGGGAGGTTGAGGTGGAACGAGTATCTACAATAAATGAGCCCTTCTCCCCCATCTACCTCTGGGTAACCTGTTCATTTCTAATAGGGGGCACTTGCAAGAGGTAGGTGACACTCCGATGTAAGACCAAAAAACAAAAGCAGGCTCACACCCAACTCATCACTGGGAACCATCCCCAGGAGGTGGGTGCTGCCCCATGAAAAAGAACAGATTACACATACATTGGCCAGAGAAAAGGGGCAGTCATGACAGGCAGAAGCTGACGCTGTTACAGCTGGTCACTAATACCTTTGAGCACTAACATCTGTTGAAAATAACATAATTTCCATTTTCTCCACTTGTCTATGAGCAGATACAAAATTGTTGCAGCGCTAGTACAAAAGATTGTGTCAGATCCTTCAAACTCTTATACCTGAGCCAAACTCACAGTCCTGTTTGGGGAAGCTGGAGAAAAACTAAAGCCAATGGAACTATTCTAGTGAACAAAATGAAGCACATGCATATGTGTCTGGACAATCCATTAGCTGTAATTTTAGGACACAGTTTGTGGAAATAAAACCCAATTGATAGTGGTTATTAACAAACTATTTATTAATAATTATTACCACAGTTATCTGACGTACTGTTTTTCCTTTTCTTTCTGTATTTAGTTCTGTATCCTGCAATTGTTAACCGGGAGTTGATTTCATGTAAGTTAGTACAACAAACAATAATAAAAATATTGCATACAGTCAAATCAGTATTCAACAGCAGAGTATTGTGTTCCTGTCTGCTGTTGCTTACCTTGAGGCTGGTGGATGTAGAGCTTGACAAAGCTAGGCTCACTGTTACCAGGATGTTACATGCAACTCTGTTGCCATGGCTCCCAATACTTAGTAACATAGCACTACCCCATATACACCACGAAGAGACTTCCATCATACTCCTAGCAAAGAGCCATGAGAACTTGCCTCTGTATTCAGACCTCTTTGACCACCTGCTAGTTCACTGTCTTCTAGACACCTTTTTATAGTCACGTATGCCACCACAGCACGACAGGGGAATTTGCGTGCCATGACTGGTCAGCAATGATAGGCACTAATCACTCTCTCATCACCCACCCAACCATATACACCTCAGATTTTGACCTGCCAAGGCACATGTGGTCGTCATCTGCACCATTTTTAAATAGGGTTGGGCAAATGTGCAGCTAATCTCTTCAAATGGGGTTTCTCTAATGATTCACGTTGTAGATGGAGCTGACTTCAGACTGTCAAATATTCTTGATGATTGCCCACTGACTTACTTACACAGCAGGCTAGCAGCTCTTCAGCTGACAGAAGACTATCAAATGGCTAGGCATACTGTACATGTGCTCAGAATACAAAACTGATACAATGAATTAAATGAGCATTACATTCTGCAACTCAGAATATGACACATTCACCTACTGCTCCTGCAATAGTTAATACACACAGAATGTGCACTGCTGCATGACAAGAGCACAAAATCCAGTTCTAAGAATAAAAATGATTTACAATGCAAAAATCCAAGTATTGCAACTTATACAACAACTCGGATGATTTCAACGTACACGATCTCCTTTTTCATGACACTTATTTGGAAATAAACTTTCTCTCTCTAATCCATGCACTGAATGGGTATCTTCCTCATTAGCCTATGTTTGTCAATGAAGCCTTTTTGGAATTTAGGAAGTTCTTTTTCTTTTTTCTTGGAGAACTGTACAAAGCAAGTATTGGATCCCTTTGATCACGGAACAAAAATATCTTCTCCCCTGTGTCTAACAGCTCAATGGCTTCTGCTGTAGCAAGGTTCAATGAATCAGGCTGGCCAGAAGGGTGTCTAGACAAACTTCCTAAGTGAGAGAATGATGCTGTTTCCAGGAGTTCAAGTTGCTTCTTCTTTAGCAGGCTATATTAAGAAAAGGGAATTAAATTTTAAAATGATTTATAAAAATAATAGTTCCGGCACAACATGGTACACCTGACTATATAGTCAAATTCTAGTAAAAATATTCATTGTACTTTGGGAAACTAATGTAAACTGTATTTAGAAATTGACATACTGTATGTATCATGTACACCATCCCAACCCAGCATCTACTTCATTGTATGAAATATAGTATCCAATGAGTAAGTAGCTTTATAAAAAATGTTACATACAAGAAAGCAAATGGGCAAAACATGTGGAGCATCAATATTTCCTTTGAAAGGATTTTATTATTACTGCTCAGTAAGTGTACAGGATGCTTTATGGAATGTTGAGTTCCATATTCACATGCATTCTGAGCTAGGACAACAGTGGCAGAAGATCTATATTTGTGATTATTTTCATGAATTCTAAAACACTTCTCATAAAAAGGGAGGACTCTTGGGAGAGATGAAGTACAAGTTTTATTTCCCCTTAGAGCAAAACCTAAATGTTTCTTTACCTTTCTTTTCTCCTGTTTGCAGAATGCATCTTCTCCAAGCCTTTGCTTATCAAATCCTGCCTTACTTTGCTCTCTAATGCTTGCCATGACCCTTGGTGCTTCCTAAGGGAGTAAGGAGGGAAACAAGAGAAAATACTGAATTTTACATCCCCACCTTCAAAACAAAACAAATACAACCACTCCCCAAACCAACAAAAATAACCAGAATCGTGTGGTTTTAGTTATTTAAAATGAAGGTTAATAATAACTTAACTACATTCATCAGGAATGTTCAGTTATTTTTGCTAAAATGTCCTGCCCAACAATATTTATAATGGAGCGCTCCTACATGACCCATGCTCTCTACTGTAAGATGCTTCCTTCATCCTCTTGTGTGACTCCCGTATTCTGGGTTCCAGTAGCCTTTGTGGATCTGCCACTCTCTCTCCTGTGCAGGTAAAAAGAGAGTGGGAGGGCAGAAGCAAGAGCTGGGCAAAACTTGGACCCCTTTCTCAAAACATATAAGCCCGCACAGCTGAGCCAGTAAAGAGTAAAGTAATCAAGGAAGGACCATAATTATGAAGTTAGGCATGTGCATAGATGTATGCAAGACAGGGGCAATGCAGCTAGTTCTCCATGATGTATAGTCACTTTGTTAGATTTAAAAGAAAAATTAAGATTTATACACCAAAAAGACAGCTGCATAAGCATGGAATCTCACTTGCTTGAGTATCAGAGGGGTAGCCGTGTTAGTCTGAATCTGCAAAAGCATCTGACGAAGTGGGTCTTTGCCCACGAAAGCTTATGCTCCTACACTTCAGTTAGTCTATAAGGTGCCACAGGACTCCTCGTCACTTGCTTGAATGGACTTAATAATTTGCTTACGTGGCCTAAAACAGAAAAGTTATAGGAGCAATTAACAATTGGTCACTGAATATGCTGTGCACCTTTTAAAAATTTCTGCAAAATCTAGGACAGCTCTGCCCACTATGTAGCTTGTTTATATTACCCAACAGGAAGCAAGGAGAATCACACACTTTCTTCTGTCCAGCCTGAGGAAAGGCTGGATCTATGGTGTTTCCTACAAGGACTTAAAAATGGGGAACTGATTGCTAAAGCTGGGTTTGGATATGATAATACTAAAACCTCATTAACGGCTTGGACCAAAGTGACAGTGATCTAATCAGACAGTTGATTGCATTAGATTTCTACAGGGCAAATAGCTAGGTTAGCTCTTCTCATGAGATCACTATTGTCCTGGACAGAAATCTTGTAAGCACAGCTGTTCTTGCCAGTTTTCCTCTCTGCCACTGAACTGGAAATTTAGCTCCTTCCGATCTTTGTTCAAACAAAGAAGACCAGACTCTTAAGACCATGTCTGGCTCTAAAGCCTCACATACCTATGTATTTGTAAAGGTTAAGATTTGCGCTTTTGTGGGTAATGCTTTTTTAGTATTGTGTGTGCAAACCTGCAATTTATCGCTTAGTTTACTTTTTATTTCCTTTACACATAAGGTCCCATATATTTAAATGAAAAACCTTAGAGAGGACAACAGTAGACAAAAACAACAGAGTTACAGAGTGACCAGTCAACCAGACACCATGAGGAACTAGAAGTAAACTATCAGGTTGGACCTCCCTGGTCCGGCACCCTCAGGACCTGACTGGTCCTGATTGAGGGGATTTGCTGGACCAGGGGAGGTCCCTACCCTCCTGACCTGTGCTGCAATGCTGCCCTCTCCTTGCACTATGTTCCAGCCTGACCTGCTGCTGCTTGACCAGCCGTCGCTCCCTGGGCTGGGACTCACCAGTTCCTACTGGCCCCGCTGCTGCTGAGGCTGTGCAGCCAGGGCGGGAGCTCCCTGACCACTGCCTGGGCCAGGGCTAGAGCTCTGCAGTCGGAGCTCCACTGCCGGGGCTGCACAGCTGGTGCCAGAGCTTCCCGGCAGCCCCCAGGGCAGGAGCTATGTGGCTGCTGCCAGCCCCCTGCTATTGCCTAGCTGCTGGGACCTGCCCCCTCCTGGCTGAGTTGCTGCCCTCCCTACAGTGCTCCTGCCCTGTGGCCACACCTCCCTATACCTGGATTGAACCATGGATGTTGCTGGACCAGAGAGTCCTGGTTAAGGAAAGTACAAACTGTATTGTATTGTACTGTGGCTGTACTGCATCATAAAGGGAGGCATATCTGGGCTGCCTGCCCCCACTCCCCACCTCTGTGTGGGGAAGCCAATTACAAGTAGGAGGCATGAACCCTGTTTATCTTCCCTCCCTACCCAGGGGCTTGGAGGGGAACAAACTTACAAGCTCAAAGCTGGGGAAAGAAAATTTCCAAAATGGTACTGAAACCTGGGCTGGAGTGTCAGCTGCCTGAATGCTGTGCTCTGGAGGAGCATCTCAGTTTAAGATAGTTTCTATTGAGCGTCCATTGATACTGTGCGCCCCCAGGTGCCTCACTCATCATCTTGTAGACAGGGGGCTAGAAGCTGCTGCCTGTCCTGAGCCCCACTTGCCAGGAAGCTACTGCCCAGGTGTGAGCCCCCACTCCATGCAGACCACCTTAAGGAACACTCCCTAACGGCTTGTTCAGAGTTATGAACATTTCATAATTATGAACAACTTCCATTCCCAAGGTGTCCCTAACTCTGAGGCTCGACTGTAATTTACAGCGTTGTCTTACCCCACATAACTGCCTACTACCTTCCCTGTGAGACAGCAACAGTCTATAGCAAATTAAAACAAATAAAATACAGCAAAAGAAAATGGGGTAAATAAGAAAATGGAGGGGGAACATTTAAAAGCAAAGAAAGAGTTGGCTACATCTATGAATTATACAGATCACATTTTTCTCCCGTTAAAGTCATACTGTAGTTAAGATATTTAAAACAATCACAAAGTTTTCTAGTTCAAATGATTTATTTTCTCTCAGA